TCATTGGATTTTAAACTCATGACAAGAAAACCTACAGAGCCAAGGGTATAGCAAAGACCTGGGAAGGTTGTACTTCCCACAGTACTCAGCCAGTAAGGAACCAGAGAAAGGAACCTGTGTGCTGGGGGATAAACTACTCAGTGCATCCACTCTCGGTGTGTTTGTTCAGAAGATATCCAGCCTTGTAAGGCTGGATAAAAAGCTTTACTTTTTCTTTTCTTCTTGCCCCTGAAGTCTGTTCTTTGGTTTTGGATAAGTGATGGAACTTTTAACATTAGACAATCTCATGAGATTTTGTCTCAAAATAATAATAAAAGGTTAGAGATAGCTCAGTTGTAATTTAACCCAAGGACCTGAGTTCAATCGCCTGGGTTCAATCCTCTGTTCCGGGGGAAAAAAAAAAACCACACAAAACAAAAACCCAACTAAACGAAAAGATACCAGAAAGTGGCACACACCTGTAATCCTTGCTAAGCAGGAGTCTGAGGCAAAAAAATCACAAGTATGAGGGCAAGCTTGGCCACTTGCAAGAAACTTCCTGTCTCTCTCTTTTTTTAATAAATTTTATTTATTTTTATTTGTGTGTGTGTGTGTGTGTGTGTGTGTGTGGCCAGCTCAGCCCACCAGGGGGCGGGGCTGGCTGGCATGTGGTGCTGGGGATTGAACCAGGGTCCGTATGCTTTGCTAAGCTTGTTCCAAGTAGGTGCTTTAGACCACTGAGCCATCTCACCAGCCCTTCCTGTCTCAAAATAAAAAATAAAAAATAAAAAAAGAGCTGTGGTAACAGTACTTTCTGAATATAAGCCCTTGTACTTGAAGAAAAAACAAAACAAAATACCAGAGGGCCACCAAGATAGCTCAGCGGACTAATGACTGCTTAGGCAAGAGCAGAGACAGGGGTTCAATCACTGGCACCACATGCCCTGCTGGCACTGCCCCCTGGGCATGCTCGGCCGGTCACTAAGACCTTGTATGGTGGAACAGGCCTGTAATCCCAGGGCTAGGGAGGCTGCAAACAAGATCACCTGGAATCTGTGCTGCATAGTAAGACCCTATACCAAATACATACGAGAGAGAGAGAGAGAGAGAGAGAGAGAGAGAGAGAGAGAGAGAGAGAACTAAAGGAAAGATAAGAATAGTGTCTGTCTCAGTTACTCTTCTCTTGTTGCTGGAACAAAATACCCAACACCCAAAATGAAGGAAGGAAAGGCTTATTTAGCTCACAGCTTGTGGAGGTTTCAGTCCATACTCAGTTGGCTCCAAGGTAGACAGGCACATGAAAGACAGCAAACTTTCATGGAAGTGGCAAAG